AATGAAAGAAGCAACAAAAGAAAAGAGAAGGGCTACAAGGGAAAGCTGGGCAGAGGCACATGTGTGGGCTGGAGGCACAGTGCAGGGGCACGCTCCTGGCAGAGAGGTTTCCCTCCAGCAAAGAGCAGAAGGCAGGGCAGGCGGAGGGGAGAGAAGGGCGATGGTAAGGGAAGCAGGAACAAAACTGAACCTGAGATAGGAAAAGCATTATTTATTGTATTCTGCTTATTTTGCTTAGGCCGGTCCTCAGACTTTCTTCAGAAGCAGACTCACGCCTGCTCTGTGCCTCCTCTGCTGACTCATTCCACTGACTTACAGAGCACATAAAAATCAAGAAGAACGAATCCAGGTGTCAAGAGATCTGCCCCTGTTCCTTGCAACCTAAAAAGGAACTTGTTAGTGTCACCTATGAAAGAGTGGTGGCTTTACTTCAGTGATAGAATGATCCCAGTAGGTGCAGAGGATCACTTTCGCTGGCAAACATTAAGCATGTTTTTCTCCAATTTATCTTCCCAGTATGATTCATTCCACTGATCCACTTGAAAAAATATGCTCAGGGTCATCTCATCTGCTTGCACAGCGAAGTCCATCACCATACTGATAGATCAGGGTTCAATTTCTTGCCCAAACACAGACAACAAGAAGGTGCATACAAATTCTGTCCCTGACTGTCTCTGGAAATGACAAAGCAGATCTATCCAGGCCAGTTGACAATTCCTATGGAGACCCAAGCTCGCTATGCCAGAACTGGATGGAATCTGAATACAGCCAGTGGAGATCTAAGTTAGAACATGAAATCATTCCACTCACAACAAATTATGCCTTGGAGAGCACTGTTATCCTACACAACCAACCCTTTGATTCAGTCCTTCAAAGGGCCAAAGGAAATTACATGGGATGAACAATGCAAGGACAGTAAAACACTTCAGATACTTCTGCTTTTACCTGCTCTCGTGGGAAGTGCCTCCACACACCTTTGTGCATCCTGCTGAAGGAACCCCTCTGTGCCCCTCGCCAGCATGTTCCTGCTGTGACAAAGGCTGCAGTGCCCAGCTGGTTACCCCAGCCTATTGACTCCACTCCTGAACAGTACTTTTGAGCAAGATCTTTGGATTTTCAGGCTGGTAAGTCTGGCTGCTTTCACTTGGACTAAATCAAATGCTTCTCAGGCTTCCCTGTCTAAACCACACTGATCCTTCTTGGCCTTTTGGCTGTATTTTATGAAATATCTGATGTCCTCTGTCTCTAGAGGACAATTAGCTGCTGCTACCAAAGGATGAACCATATGATCTCATACTTGTCTTTCAACTCTGTCTTTTGAGGTTTCCAGAATTTTTCCTGAGATTTTTATTTGTTCCCAAAGAAATCCTTACATACTCAATAGTTTGCCCAATTGGCATTGCTCAGGCTAATAAAGATACTGGCTCCCCCGTGAGCCTTGCCACACCTGTATTTCAGGTGCTACACACACAGGTGTTTCTCCTCCAGAGGAAGAGTGCATGGAAACATTAAAAAATACGAAAATATAAGAAATTCCCCCAGATTTGCTCTTACTCTCAGAGACCAAACATTAACCCTGTTTTCTTGTACCCAAGCATTACTACCATTGTGCTTCTTCCTCTTTCACAATCCCCAGCAGACACGATCCCATTCTCCTGCCTGTATATGCATGTTTTTTTCCCCCACAACCCTCAACTGCCTTTGCTGCTTCTAGGGGGTTAGATTCTGAAATATCCTTTTCAAAGCTGGGATGGATGTTTGCAATTGGGGCTTATTAATTTCCTATGGCAGCTATCTCCAAGGCTGCTTTGTCATATATCTCTTTGCAGGAGATTTAAGCATGGCAGAGAGGCTTTGCAGATAAAGATTTGAATTGCAACCTTTACACCAGAAGTGTAATAGGAACATCAGGGAATTAAATAAAATTATATTTTTCCTAGATGTCTGCTTAAAGAGGAAATGCAGGATTTTATGGATGCCCCAGAGACAAACTATTACATTACACTCCTCACAGTTCTTATCTGAGCACTGTCTATTTGAGCACCTCAAATAGCACAGAATCATTCATAAAAAATGGGCAAGAGAGACTGTGTCCCATCAATATTTCAAGCTTGGTTATCAAATCAAGAGAAAGTCAGGAGTCCTGCTCCAGATCAACATTTGCAGGTTTGATGTGATTGTTTGGCAGTTTAGTTTCTTTTTTCCCTCTGCATTCTCATTGTCTTTAATATTTTATATAACCTTCCAGTTGATGGTTATTGTAATATTTATTAATTTTTCTTTACTTGGCTGCACTAACCAGTTTGCTCCTTTCTATTTCTGCAGGGAGAAATTCACACTCATTTGCTATTTGTGGGGTGATGACACAGTGTGAAGAAGCAGTAATGATGACTGACTGATAGAAGACACCATATGTTCTCTTCATTTTTCTCTGTGCTATTTTATGAGAGAGGAATAAAGTCTCAGTGTAAGATGAACTTTCCAGTAATAAACAATATTAAAAAAACATGATTTTTTACACATAATTGGCAGGATTGGGGAAATGCTGTTTTTTCTAACGCATTCGGATGACATTACTATAAATATCAGGCTCCAAATCACTGAGAGAAATAATTTATATGGGAAAGATTTTAAATGCATCTGAGCACCAAAAGCAGTTTCATAATTAAATTTCACTCTCTTCCTAATGCCTTTCAGTCTTTCACAGTAAAAATTCCAAAACCAGACACTGTTTATGACTAAACAAAGGTTAGGAACTCCATCAATTTTAAAGAATGCTGTATATAATCCCATTAACTCCATGCCAGTCTGTACTCCAAGACAGCCAACAAGCTCCACCACAAGCAGCTGCCAGTACTGCCAGAGCCAGCACTGTGTGTGGGGGTGTTTCCTTACACACCCAGTGCACGAGTTGGCATACCTGCTAAGACCAATGGCTCCCTTCAGTAAACCTTGCATTGGCTTTAGCATGTTTTAGTCTTAAAGAAAGAAGAAATTTCATTTTCAATAAATACATGAAAAGCTTTCACTGTTACAACTCATGCACTTAAGTGTACTCTTCTTACAAACTCCTGAATATTTTTGTTTTCCCCAGTTCCTTAAACTACCCTCTCAAATCAAGGCTGTCTGATTTTTGCTCTTCCTCCTAACTTCACAATAGTCACTAACTAAAACCAGACTGCATCCAGAGCCACACACGTATCTGCTCACATTATTAGGCAGTCAAGAGCAGAAACAAAGAAGTAAACAAAAGGGATTCATGGTGCCTTCTGTTTCATTAGAGACAAAGAAAGAAGGGAAAGGAAAAAAAAAAAACCCAAAAACAAAAAAACAACAAACCTCCTAAACACAAAAATTAACTCAAGAAATAGTAGCTTCAAGATACCATTTCAAATTTCCAATAATGCTTTGGTAGTAATGGAGACAGAACCAAACAAAACCTGACCACGAACCCTTCAAGGTGAGGGGCAACAACTCCCCAACACCACACCTAGAGCCAGGACTCAGGGCTTGGTGCCAAGATCATCCATTTAATGCCTTTATCATAACACAAGCTGGGCAGAAAGAGAACCCCCATTTGCTTACTCTGTTCTGCCAATGCAGCAGGAAAAGTGTCTTGATGCAGAGCCAGCACACAGCACTCTCCTGCTCACCTACCATAGCCACAGACATCAGGACAAGCTTAAATTCCTGGTCTGTAACTCAACACACCTGCCCCAGTTAGCCTAACTTCCTCACGCTTTACAACCCATGCATTCTGCATCACAGGAAGAATATGACAGTAGCTGAAGTGAAGGTTTTTGTGGAAGGAATGTGTTCTATTCTGCTTCTGAACTCCCAAGCAGAATAAATGCAGTTCCCCAAAAAGCTGTACTGTGTGCACTTCATTTTGCTGTTACAACAGAACTGCATGAAGTCAGATCTCAAAACTCTCAGCCAAACACTCCATTCATCAGCAAAGCACTACCTACAGGATCGGGTCCCTAATCAATACTTTAATATAACACCTACTTAATTGGAATAATTGATTGCCAGGCATCAGACTAAGCATAATGTATTTCTGCTAGTCTGGACAAAGGATAAATGTCATAGATTATTTATAAGACACACCTGCAACTATGTAGAGGGTGGCAGATACGACACGCAGTTAGCACCGTATGCGTGCAGCGCTTTGTTAAGGACAATGGCAGGGATGCCAGCACAACAGTCAGGCCTGCTGGGCATCATCGGGTCCCACCGCCGGGCTCCTACAGGTCAGTTCACAGCCACGCGGTCACAGCCAGCTACCACTGCACAGGATGCTCCGGGGTTACCTCCTCACCGGGTTCTGCCATTACCAGGCTGTTTATTCCACTGCATCCTCGTGAAGGAAAAGCCTCTCAATATTTTAGGATGGAAGACAGCCAGCAGAGAGTGCAAGAGGCCCCGTCTGCGCACTTACCGCACAGTTTGCAGCCCAACTCCTAGACGTGACACCTTGGCCCCGCTGTGCCCCAGCTGCCCCAGCAGCTCAGGTTCACTGTCCAAGGTCACCGCCATCGCCACCACCAGCACCGCCGCGCGGCGCCCACCCAGCCGCCCCAGCCCCGCTGCCGCCCGGCGCCGCGCTCCCACCCGCGCAGGACCGCTCTCCCCTGCCGTTCCGCAAATCCATCTATTTTCAATCCCGTCGCTGAACCGCAAATCGGAGGAGGACATGACCGGCAGGCAGCTCGCACCTACACACAGCTACGCGGAACCTCCTCGCCGGCTCCCTCTCGGAAAGCAGCATCCCGGCGGCTTCCCCGGCTCGGGATCCCCCGGCCGGTAACTTTCCGGGGGGACCGCGCGCAGGCCTCCCACCCCGCTTTACCCTTCAGACCCCGCTGACGGCCGCAGGGGCGCGGCGCCCCCAGCTCGCCCCGGCCCCGCCCGCGGAGAAGGGCCGAGGCAGCGCGGCCGCCCGGCTCCCGAGGTGCGCGGCGGGGCGGGGGCCGGGCGCGGCGGCGCGGGGGCGGGGCGGGGCGGCGGCTGCCGGAGCTGCGGGAGCTCGTCCCGCCGCGCTGCCTCCTCCCGCCCGCGGAGCAGCGCCGAGCCGCGGCCGCGCGGAGCGGAGGATGCGCTGAGGGCGGCGCAGGTGAGTGGCTCGCTCCCCGCTCGGGTCCCCCCAACCCGCGCCCCAACTTTTCCCCTCGTCACTTCGGGAAAGTGCCCGAACTTGCGGCGGGGTCGCCCGGACCCCGTCTCGGGGCCGCGGATGCCGGCGCAGGGGGCTGCGCGGAGAGCGGCGGCCAGACGGGTGCGGGCTTGGGGCTCGGAGCGGCCGCACCAGGAGCGCAACCTGGGGCGGTGGGAGCGGGGTGGGGCCGGAGCCGGTGCTGCTCTGGGTACGTGCCTCCTCCGACCGGGTCCGGGTCGTTTTCTGTAGGTATGCGAAAGAAAATAGTTTGTGAACGGCGGCAGCTCAGTGCCTTGGAAATGCAGTTCGCCCGGAGTTCACGTTGTGCATCAGAGAAAGGGGCACTGATGCCCCTGTTTGTGCCGGGAATTACCGCGCAGGGGAACGGGGGCTGCGGGTCGGTCTCCGGTCCCGGTCGGTGCGTCCCGACGGCCCCGCGCCCCTCCGCTGGAAAACCGGGCACTCGGAGGCACGACCGCCGGCAGGGCGGGGCGGGGCGGTCCCGGCCCATCCGCGGTTGGGGCTGCCCGGCCGCAGTGCGCGAGCAGCCGGGGACAGAGCGGGACCCGCCGGAGCCCCGTGTGTGTGCGCGGTTGGAGCGGTTAGGAAAGCCCTATTCAATGGATACTGCTTTGCCTGCGGCCGATCTGTGCTGTGTGCAGATTACACGCTTGCAAAAACCAGAGATGCTCTCTTTTTGTTCTGTTTCTGTTAGAAGCTTACCCCAAACCGCTCATATTTTATTGCCAGATTTAAAAGTTGCAGCTCTTCAGAGAATAGGCACAGTACCAGAGAGGGATGAATGGGAAACGTGCGCAGTCTCATAAGTGAAGATGGGAATTAGAGCCTCTAATCCCTTTTGTTTGTTAACGGTGCTGCCATGTGATGAGGGCTGTCCTCAGCTCATCCCGGGAAGGTTTCACCCCTCCAGCTGCCTGGCATCTCTTCAATTCCTTCCATGTCCCCGGGATTTCTCCTTTCCAGGAGCAGGCCACAGCAGCTCTGTGTCGGGGATAACCGCTAAGCTCTCCTTTTGAATTCGTGAGCTTCCAAATGAAACTTCAGCTGACACCTGCTACCTGCCCTGCTCCAGCACGGGGACAGCAGCAGGGGGCTGCTGGAGCCCTACTACTGGGCGAAGTAAATCGGGAACAAAAATTGGTGTCAAGTGCCCGGGTCACAGCACCCAATGAGTGGAGCTCTGGAACTGGGGCTGCTGAAACCTAATCAAACTGTGGCTCTGATGGAACAAACTTCCAACAGCAATCACCGTTAGGAATTAAATCTGTAGCGCAGACAGCAACAGAGATTAATAATCATCATCGTCAATTAGCTGATGGAATCAAACAGAACAAAATGAGTGCAAACAAAAATCCATCTCCCCTCCCCCTGAATCTCATCCCACCCTTATTTATCCAGCATCAGGGATGTTTTCTGAGCGTTGCTTCCAAGCACCAAAAAGTGTCATAACATAAGGTCAAGACTTAATTATTTATACGGAGCCATCAATCACTGCACAGGGCTGATTTCTTTATGAACCTCCAGAGCTGTGCAGTGAGGCAGTGAGCCCTGGTGCCCCGCGCCGAGTGGGGCTGGGAAGGTGCCCACAGCCGCTGTGCCTGGGCTGTCGGAGCGGCTCTGCTGCCCCGTTCAAGTCCTGTAAGCAGAACATCACCGGGGAAATCTCGTGCATATCTGCTGCATCTCGGTAATGAACGCTTACTGATTACGGATTATCTGGAGAATTTAGCTTTTTCAACATTATTCAAATTTTTATGTTTATGTAAGCTAATAATACTGATGAGATTCAGTAACTACTCTTTGCCTTATGGTATTTGAAAAGTGTGTCCGCTGGGCTTATCTCGGCATCTTCCAGAAGCACTTCAGAAATACTAAAATAGAATTTTTCTGCCTGAAAAAAAGAAGTATCGGTACCCGGGATAATGCTCTTTGCTCACAATTAATGCCAAAAATCAATTTGCTAACATGCTTTTTATGTTTCTGCTGATCACAAACAGGATGGCACAGTAAAAGCTTTTACTGCCATCTGATTAGTCCACGGTGGTGCTGAGTAAATAGCTGGGGCTGGCAGTGCTGCTGAGCGCCTGCGCTGAGTGTGGGGGGAGTAGAAGAGAGCTTGGGGTGCTGAGCAGGAGCCGGCCCGCAGGTTTTCTGATAGCTGGATGGAAGTAGTGAACATGCACTGGAATTTTCCTGAACCTCCTCCTGGCCTCTAATGAAGGGTTAACTACTGGCAGGGATTTGCACAGACTTTCCCATTTATCCATCTGTTAACAGAAATGGTGCTGCTGATCTTATTTACATGACTGCGTTTTGGATAGGGAGATGATTAACTCAGTGTGTGTGGAACTGGTGGGGACAAAGAAAAGTGGACCACAGGAAGAGAGGGGTGGAAAGAAAAGTTGTGGTGAGAACGAGCAGAGCAAGGAGGGAAGTTTCCTATTGCTCTCCTGTCATCATCTCCTGACGCACTGTGCTCCAAAACCCTGTTAGCACTGATGGACTGTTGGAAGCATGGGGATATCCCGGGCAGCTCGTGATCCCTCTGAACTTCATGGCAGGGCTCCATTTTGGCAAGAGCAAGTCAGTAATGCAGTCTCCTGCACATCCGTTACGCGGCTCCTACTGATCTTACACCAAGGCAATTTATCACTGTAGTTCAGTGATAGAAATACCAAAATAGCATTTCACTGGGTTTGTAAAAGGGTGTAAATTATGGGTAGAAGGACAAATGGATTGTCCACTTCTTCAAAGACCAATTAAGACATTAAGAGCATGGGGAAATATTGTTAGACATTAACCAATCATTGAGAAAATCAAAATTTAGGACCCAGTTCTGTTAAATGTTTCTCAAGCACCCTCTGGATCTTGCCCAGAGCATGTGAAAAATGAAAGATTAATAGTATCTCTTGCAGGCAGGGCCAGTCAGCTGCTTGTGTATTTTTATGGTATACTGGGTATATTTATAGCATTTAGTAATGCCAGCAACGCTCAGTATAAAGAGTAACAGATGAACGCATTGTGAAACAAGGCACTAGCAAGGCAGGTGGGAAATGACTTCCAAAATATTGCACTAACCAGGCGGGAAGAAATGCCTTCAGATAGTAAACATGAAATAATAGATGTAAGTGGCTTTAGCCAAAGTCAGGGTAGATCTTCAGATTGGTTTCAGTCCATGCAAGACTGAGCCCAGCCCACACCTTACGCAAAAGAGGAAAGGCAGGCTCACCGCGTGCGATCCCAGCAAAGATGGCTTCCACGCTGCTCTGTTCCCATGGAAAGACAGAAATGATGAAATCACAGTTGAGAGTGGAGAGGAGAAAGGAAGGGAATAAAATTGTATTGGCTCGACTGCAAGAAGCAAATAACAGATTTCCCTATTCAGACAGATGATGCCTAACTAGGGCACAAAGCAAATCATAAAAGAAGGTGGCAGATTTCACAAATTAGTCATGGCAAAAATGGTGAATTTCACAGCTTGAAGTGAATTCACGTTACAAAATGAAACAGCACAAAATGATTAAGAGCTCTAACTGATAGAAGTAATGAGTGTGTGAGCCTTAGTCATCACATGGCACCTGACACTTCTCCTTGGCTTCAGGGAAGTAACACCTTCAGCCTCTTCCTGCTTGTATGGTACTGGGATCAGGTGAGGACAACCTAAGAAGAGTCCTTTGTACATCTTTTTGGGAGATTCTGGACTGGGGCACAAGCTCAGCAGTCCCAGTAGCACTGCAACAGCCATTCAGTAAGGAGAGGCTCTGCAGGCACCACCTCTGCTCCCAGTGCAGCAATGGGCATGTGCCATGTCAAGAGCCCTGCCTTCACACCATGACCTCGCAGGTGAGCAGCACAGTGGTAGGGCAGCTGAGAGAGGCTGGAGCAAGAGGGACACTTGCAGGACAGTAGCTGCCACGCTGGGGACAACCTTCCAGAGCTGGAAGGCTGCTTTGGGGACTGTTTGGTGCTGGCCTGTGCTCTCATGCAGTAGCGGTGCTACAGCACATATCCCTCCCAGCAGGCAGCCCTCTAATAGCCCACGCCATGGTTTTCTTCCAAAACCAACCCAATTTCCCTTCCTTCAAAGGATGAAGACTAATGTCAGAAGCCTCACAGGTGCTGCTGCATGACTTCTGTTAGCAAAACACTTCAATAGCTGTTACAGAACGTTTTCAAGAAAAGCTGTGTTATTAAGTACTAAAACCTTCTGCTACCATTTGTATCCCTGCTTAGACCGAGATAAAAAATAATGGAGAAAAATGTCACCACTGTGTCTTAATTCTGCTTTTTCAACATATGCTCTTCTATCACAGTTATTGAAAATCCATAGAGCAAAATGCAAGCAAAGTGAGCTAATACCAACCAGAGAACACCTCCTCAAGCACCATCAGTCTCCACCAAAACCTTCCTCTTCCCGGCAGACCATAGGGCAGCCCTGCTGGAGTGCCTGGAGCCGGGTGGTTCTCAGGCTGCCGGGAGGTTAACAAACCCCATTGCTGGCAGGCTGAGCTCAAAGTGAAGCAGAGCCACAAACCCCTTGGAGAGAAGTGTGTGCCAGCTTTCCTGTGTTTATTGAGGGCATTCCAGCAAAGTCAGGTCTGCTGAGCGCAGCTGTAATAATGTCATGCAGGGAGAGCAAAAGCTGTTGAAGTTGCCAGAACTAAAGCCATGGAGGAGTGTAATAGGGCAGTGCCAGTTCCTTCAAGTCCCACCGGGAAGTTATTACCCAGCCACAGGAGGCAGAGGAGCACCTGCATCCCAGAACAGGGTATGTGCATCAAGCATGCAGCGGCCAGCCGTACCTCAGCTGCACTGCTCCTGACCCAGAGGGAGGATTAAAACTGCACACAGAAGAAACAACCTAAGAGGAATTGATCACTATTGAACAAGGATGGGAAGACAAAGTTTGAAAAGAATTAGCATTTCTAAAGGAATGC